TAAAACTTTTCAAATATCAAACMATCTTACTGGATAGAATATTTCAAGATCTAGTTAATAATTAAATTGTCTTCATATTAGTCTTTGTACAGTTTATACCAACTGCAATTCAGTGAATTACATCTTTTTCATCTTTTATTACATTTTAATCTCTACATTAATTTATGCCTTATATCCAATTTCCCACTGTCATTGAAGTTATTTGTTAAAATATAGTACTTCAAATAATGTGCTTTTTTTTTTTCACTGCTGTCAGTAACTAAGACACTTGGTGTTTCATACAAATACTTCACTCCACTTGACAACTTCCATTGCTCTTCTTAAGAGATGCCTTGCGGCAAGGGTGTGACTTTACTGTCACAATACTCTCATTCTATGTCCAAGCAGAAAGGAAGCAAGGGTGTTAGTTTTCCTATTTATAAATATGGTAGGTGTCATACCTAACTAGATGGACTTAATWATCCTGTCCAGATATTATCATGAATCTCCTTTGATCCATGTATTAGCTAAAGTTCTTAAAATGTCAAATGTTCATAATCTTTTTACTGTAATATAACTACTAGTATAGAAGTTTGTATTATTTCTATTCTCTTTAAAATTGTATTTTACCAAGAATACTTGAAAATATTAGGATTAACAATATATTGATACAGATTATTTTCCATTTAGACACAAATGTGAAATTTTAAATTCATGTTAATTTCTCAATACATAGAGAAATTTGAAAGACAGGAATTTTGAGATTAGAGCAAATTTATTTTTATACAAGTAAATTCATGAAAAATTTTAATCAAATTTATGTAAATTTAATATATAAATTTAATATATTAATATATATACAATGGTACTACATCACACTTAACTATGATATTTATAATATTTTTAATAAAGTTGTAAATGTCTAGCAAGTCAAAGAAGTTTCCTAAATAATAGTAGTTTCTTTGGATGTGATATTATAGAAATTTTTTGATGATTAGTTAAGGTACATTTATTAATTATGGTTAAGCTATTTAAAACTAAATTTTTAGTCATAGGCCTCTTTAATAAATATTATGAAAGACATCTGGAAAATGCATTATAGACACAAAATTTGCAAATGGTAACAGCTTGTTGAAAAATTCATCAAAGAAAATCCATCTTTGACCATGGATTTTTGCTAAATATATTAACAGGCTGAAATCATTCACAAATTTTCTATGGATTAAGAATTCTTAGCAAAGTGTTTGACCTGAAAGGAGAAATAATTATTTTAATATGAGTCTTTTTTAATGTTTACTAATGCTTTCCATTATAAAATTAAATGAATTATAGTACTCTGTTGAATTATAGTTAATTTTCTTACCTTGCCTGCTCTAATCATAGTTCTTTTTGTTGAGTTTTAGAAGATAAAAGATATTTTCAGGAGAGTGGTTTTAATTTGTAAAAGTTAAGTTCCAGTCTCATACTTTATTAGTTGTAGTGTGGAGTTGATTTTTGACATATGTAGATGATTCTGAAAAAAATACCAGCATTTGTAAAGAACAATGAATAAAATTGCCTTGAAGAAAAGGAATTTTGTTCAATAAATATTTTTGGTAAATTAATATGTTATTTTTTAAGGCACAATTTATTCAACATAAAGCATTTCATTCAACTGAAGGCTTATAGTAAATATTTTCAGTTCTTTAATCTTCTAAATATATTTTTATAAAATTGTATTGTTAATTACATTTTAGGGGTTAGGGAAGCTAAAATGTTCAATAAAATATTTTGTTTTCTGGGATTATAATTGAAATACAGTTTATAATAAACATTATATCTTTTGACTGTCATATATAAGCTAAATTTTTATTAAAAAACTAAATGAAATTACATTATTGTAGAAAATGGGAGGGGTTATTTAACTATGTAGTTTCTACATTTATGAATTTTTTTTTATAAATGAAAGCCCCAAAGTCTCCAATTTTTTTAGTCTTTCTATAAAGAATAGTGATAGGCATTTTAATAACTTTGTTAGAATACTACCAGCATTCAGAGTGCTTCTAAAGTGGAAATTCAATGCCAAGGTGTAGGAGAGAATTGGAAAATATTTTATATTTTAATTTTGCTATTAGAATTAAAATTGATAAAATAATATAAAAAATTTAAATGATGACCAGTAATCATTCTTCTCAAAGTAAGATATTTTAGCTCTCTGGTCTTGTGGTTAATTTTACTTATAGTAAACATACCAGGGATAATTATATTCCAAGGTTCTAGTACATCTTTAATCATTACTATTTGTATAAATTATGTAAATTATTGGAATTATATCTTCTGATTCAAATTTGTGATTTTGTGTTTTACTTGATACATTTGTCTTAATATTTAGCTTGACACACCTATAATTCAGAAATAATTTCATTTTATCTACAGTAGGCAGCTGAGAGATAAAATGGAAAACCACCAAAATCTTTGGCAAAGTTAGAGCTTTCACATTCCTACTGAAGGTTCTTCAATGGTTATGAAAAACTTTTTTCCAAAACATGATAACTTTTTAAATAATTTTATCATTAAATATGCACATGATAAACATGCTGTCAGGAAATGAGAAATACTACAAAAATGTGTATAATATTATGTAATTATCTGGCCTTCTGATATGAGTAAGTAAATGATAATGTATTTGCATTCTGCTTCAACTCATGTTGAATGATGTCAGCTTCAACTCCTTTGGGTATGATAATCGTGTCTGGAAGGTAAAAATGAAGTCATTTAAAACTATCCTTAGATTCGTTTTAGTATGCACTACTGTCTTATGATTTGGTCTGGAGCTTTGCAAAACAAATATTTAAAATCAACCGTATCACTAGCTAAAACAATCTATTTAGAGATACGAGGTTGTGTTTTGGCAAAATTCAATCACTGGAACAATTTCAAACTGCTTCAGTCCAGAAGCTCTTGGGAAATAATCATCATTGTCCAAGCAGTCATCAATCCTAAAAACTATATGATACTACAAGAGAAGGTTACAAAGCTATGAACTAATAAATGTCAAAACATTCTTTAAAAAATTTAATATCATTTGGTGAGGATAGTTAACTTTATTTAAATTTGTTTTTATTGGAAGTAGTAGTTACTTCAAATTGCTTTAAACTTTAATTACAAAGTAAAACTGAATATAGTTCATTTGATTTTCTCAATGATTAAAGTAAATGACTGAGTGTATATCCATAGGTATTCACACCATGGGAAGAAAGCAGAGAGTAGATATTTGCACATTTTCTATATTGCTAATGGCTTTCTATAAATATAATGAACATTTTTAATAACTCCGTCTCAGTTTCTAATTACTCTCACGTAGCACTTTGCATTATGATTTTTCCTTTTGACTATGTGTTATAAAGTAATAATTTTCTAAACTACTTTTCTCAAGCTCTCTGTTGAACTGTCTATGAATTGTAATGGTACTGACCATTAATTGTCTGAAGTCAGCATTTTCAAAGCAAGTGTGTGTCATTGCTTAATTCACATAACTGTAATGATAGAGATTAAGATTGTCTAATTTATTGAACTTAGAAAAGTGAAACATTTAATGATTTGGTGCTAAAAGTATGATTGAAACACTTAGGCATAAATTTCAGATTTTTTTGTATTTATATCTTGGACTATTAGTCTGTACCTGGACACATAATAAAAGTTATCTGTTTACTTAATTTTTAAAGTGGGTGTCATGTCATTTATCAAAGATAATAGGCCACATTTAAGCACTTGCATTAGAAAAATCTGTCAGCACATGCTTTTTTAAACTCTGTGTCAAAGAGATGAAATCAGCAATCAACTCAATCAGATATATCAACATTTCCATTAACTTTTCCATTAACTTTTAAACCATTAAGGTCACTTGGCAGAAACCTCACCACATTGGCCATCAAAGAAAAATTCTCTCTCTTCTCTCTCTCCCCCCCCTCTTTCTCTCTCTCTATCTCTCTCTCTCACACACACACACACACACACACACACACACACACACACAAGTTAAAAACAAATCTTAGCACTTGTTTCAGATATTAAGTAGTCTGGGAGTTTAACAAAAGAGAATTTGAAAAAGAAATTATTATTTCTCCTCAAGTGCAAGTATAAATTTTAAATAGTTTACCCTACATATAACTATACCCTTAGGTCTTTATTCCCCTTTATTTATAAAACACACAAACATTAAAGACAATGCTTTGAAGCTAGGATGTTTGTGACGGATTCTGACTTTAAAAATAACTCATACTTTATTGAAAGTTGCAATTCTTTCTCTCTAAACAGTCACAGTTGCTGCTTAGGAGATTGATAAAGGCTTAATTGTAAAACATTACTTTGCATATTATGAATCAAGAAGCTAAAATAGTATATCTCACTTTCATAACATGAATTTTATGCATGTGGTTCAGACATAGCCTTCAGAAACAGCGCTAATCTTTTATCTAAGTCAGTCCATTTGTAGGAGTTGCAAATATTCATGAGAAGCTGTCAAAATTTATGAATTACTAAGAATGCCTCAAGATTAGATAATTAACAGTTAAGCAGTGTGTTTAGGTGACTACTGTTAGCTGAGGATGTTAAGTGAGTGTGTGCATGCATGTAAGCATGTGCATATATGTGTGATGTGTTAAGTACGCATATTTGTTTTCCCTATATATGTACATGCAACAAACAATTGATTAAATTGAAAACATTTTCACAATTAAATTTAGTTTCTTATAATCAGTTATGAAGGGAATTAAAAATAATTTGTGTTAGATAAAGACATAGGCTCCGCTACTTATCTTTTGTTACTAACATTGTGTTCCCCATTCTGTGTAATTTTAATCATGTTCATCTTTAGATTAACAATTGGTGGTATTGTATAGTTTGCATTTTAATTTATTTATCATGTTATTTCTAAATTTCATTTAATTGAAGTCATTTCAAAAGCATTGAAATCTTAAACCATTCAGTTCCTTAAAGGTGCTTCATGTGTTTTAATAGGCTTCCATTGTGTGTTTTTGCAGCAAGCTTAGTAGTGGAGGAGCGAACAAGACAGATGAAAATGAAAGTCCATCGATTTAAGCAGACAACAGGGTCTGGTTCTAGTCAAGAACTTGATCGCGAGCAATATTCCAAGGTAAAATCAGTAGTATCCAAYCAATAGTCTCCCTTATAGAAATTTGTAGTTTGTGCATTGGCCAGGATGAGCCAGCACTGTTACATGAGTTGTCACGGAATGACAATCTTACTACGTCATTTCTCCTAAAGACTGAAAAAACTCTCCCTCCTCTTGATATTTTCACAACATATAACTTTTTTGAAATATATTTTTAACTTGGAATTAATAGTTTTCTGAAATGAAAACATAAATACTTGATATTATAAGTCACTTATGGTTGACATTTGTCAAGTTTACAAAAACAACAAGATATGTGAAGCTGTTTTGTTGCTTGAATATCATTTAAATATTGCATTTAAAATATCAAGATACATATTTATAGTCTTAACCACTTTTTCAGGCTGATGTTGATTATAGAGATTTCTTAGTGAATGACTAAAATTATGTTGTGAGGTTTCTTACTGATTAGTCTTTTCAAAAATTTTTTAGTTGTAGATGGACACAATACCTTTATTTTGTTTATTTATTTATTTATTATGTGGTACTGAGGATAGAATTCAGTGCTTCACATGTGTGAGGCAATTGCTCTGCCACTGAGCCACAAACCCAGCCCTTGATTAATCTATAGTAAGGATAAATAACTGCTTTCAAACCCTTAGAAGCTGAAGTCACACAATTTCAAGTGCCAGTAGTATTTATTCTACATCAAATATTATTTTCTAAGGAGTCTATGAGATGCTAATTACTATCTAGTAAGTTTAATTAAAATATAAAATTTTATACTTTAGGAGGTAAGTTTATGTTTATTATCTGGTTTACTTAAAAATCTTTCTAAAATTACTGCAAAAGTTGCAGCATCCATTATAGGTCAACCTTTATTATCATTTGATATAAAGAAATCTTTTTGGAAAGAATTACTGATTAGAAAGCAAAGTAAATAATAAGAAAACACACTAAATTAATATAGTTAGCCTGAAATAATTCCTAGATAAACCTATTTATTTTTAAAGCTTAAAATATGGACTAGAAAAACCAATAACGCATTTTCAAAACTTGAAAGCTAGCCAATAAAAAACAAAACACAGTTTTTTAAAAAAGAAACAGATATTCAGTGACTAATATAAAAAAGTAAATATAGTTATAAAATGTAATTTGCTACCCGTACTAACACAGAGTTATTCATGCTATAAAGTCTGTCACTTTACACTTTATGTTAGATGAAAAAGGGTTTTCAATATACAATGCATAGGGTCACTGTGATCCAGGGATGCCAATTCCCAAAGAGTTTATAACAATTTTTTAAAATGTAGATTCAGTAAAGGTAAAACACAAAATTGTTAAGCAGAATATCTTCATTTTGCATACAATTGCTGATTCCAGCTCTGTACATCTTTTCTGCAGCTTATTCTTTATGGTATTACCACCAAGTCAACTTACTTATCTGTCACTTTTATTTTACAGCAAATGGGATAAGAACTAGAAGACAGAGTAATTTAGGGTTTTGGTTTCTTTGTGTGTGTGTGTGTGTGTKTTTTTAATCCTTCTCTACAGTTAGAAGAACTTATTCAAAAGGTTTTTTGAACTGGAAGGACTTCATCAAAGCCAGAAATACTTTATTGATTACTTAGCATTATGTCAGAGGTTAAGGTCTAATAGAACTGCAACGGGAGGTTGGGCCCCCATAGCAAGCAGGAAGGAAGGAAGTAAAGAATCAGTAAAATACTGACAGCCTTTTGGATCATTCTGAACTAGGACTCCAATCCTTAATGAGTTCATCAAAAAATTTGCAGAATATAGAGCTCTAAAAGTCCAAATCATCACTAATACTTGTAGTCATGGTAAATCCAATGTAGCTTTTTCTTGTTTGGGAGCTACCCATTCTGTGGCTCATAGCAATTTAGAACTTGAAAGAACCTCAATATAGTATTTTATTTCAACTTACTTATTTATCAAAATTTTTTTGAACACTGAGGCTCTGAAGATAGGTGACTTACTGAAATTGATACAGCCTCTCTGTGGAGTGATTTGGGACTTAATTTTTTATGCTTCTTATATTGCTAAAAATGCATGTTACTCCTGCTTGATTCAAAGTTCCCATTGACTGCTAATTTACATTTGAATATTCTATCCTCCCTTCCCCCTTTGTATAGGCATCCTCTGTCTTTCTTTGGATTTGAATATTTTAAAAACATTGCTTTCAAGTATATTACTGTTATTCTTTAGGAATATATTGATTAACTCTAGCACTTAATAAAATTACTATAGCTTTTAATGCCAGTAAGTATGAGATCTAAGGTATAGTAGCTTTAAGAACTTGTAAGAATAGATGATGGGAAAATATGTAAAATAAAATAGCAAATGATTAGCTCATTTTTTACTTTATATGTCAAGTAAAATATACATATTCATATTGGACTAATACTTCCAATATTATTTTATTAACTTTTTAATTGATACATGAAAATAAAAATTGTACATGTTAATGGGATTTAAAAGATGGTTTTAGTAGCCATTTCAGCTAGTTCAAACCTCCCTCATATACTTGAGAAATTATCTTTTTTGTTTTTTAAACTTTTGCACCAAGCATTTTAATATATTCTGAAATTATCTCTTTTTACTGCTTTAATTGAGTGTCAGTATTATCATAAATATAATAAATTAAATTTTGAAYTTTATTCCTTTAATACCATTTCTATTTATTTGAAATTTTGGATGAAGCAATACACCTTTGTTGAATGTATTGCCAAGTTAAAATAGTTAACTGTTCTTAAAATACTTTTAATTAAACATCAGAACTATGTATTTTTTCAGGGCATAAAATAATCTCATGAATATAATTCCTGAGATGTTTTTTGAAACATGGCACCTCTTTAAAAATATTAAGTAATGCTAACATCCGTCCTGAGTAAGGAATTATCACTAACTTTGCTTTTGAAAAGACATAAAACTGCTTTGGCATCCTTAAAATGTGTCTCCAGGTTATTTTTTCATTGATGTTAGTCAGAGTTGCATGCTTTAATGATGGGTTGAACTCATACTTGGAGGGTAATCACATTTAGGCATTCACATTTTGGAAACTGCTTATGTTTCTGTAACCCAGGAACAGTAGCCAAAACTGATGGGATGTGTTTTGTAAGGTAGCTGCCAAGTATTTATTATTGCTTACTTCTAAAAACAGCAGCCCTATATTTAGAGCCTTCCTTCTCATTAATGACTTATTTTTCTGCTCTGTGATCAGTAAAAATTCCTCCTGGGAAGATCCTGTTCTTCAAAATATAATTAATATATTTCCACTAAAATACTAAATTGTTTAATAAGAAATTTAACCATCCTCGATGCAAAGACCTATATAGCAAATTGAGTAAAGAAATGGTTTGTAGAAAGGGAAGGTTTTGTTGGAGAAATACTTCTATTTACACTCACATATACTTGCTCTGTAGTCTTATTACTTAATGTTGGCTTTTCCAAATAAAGGGAGCATTTCTTCTGGGTGTCAATACAATGCTAGAAAATCTCCTATAACTGGATAAATTCTTAGGGTATTAGGTCCCATTTATTTCCACTTCTTTCATGGAGAAGCTATCATTCTAATACATTTGGAAACATAGTCATTACATCTCTTTTATCTCATGATAATATATTTTTAAAAAATAATCCTAGAGCTTAGTTTGTACCCCAGCATATATTAAAACTCAGTTTGTATTCTACAATGACATAAATTGTTACCACATCTACTCTACAAATTAAAAATAGTTCTGGTCAAAAATCAATCATGTCAGTCAGGATTGTATGATGAGATATGAAAGAACTTGCTTGGTAGATTGAATTATCACATTAATTTCAAAACATTAAGCCATATTAATTTTAGATCAAATAAAATTATATAATTAGCTTAGTTCAGAAAAATCATAGCATATGTGAATTTCCTTTGGATTATAATCTACCATATGGCTTTTAAAGGTAAATACAATTATGAAAAATACTTTATAAGAATAATTTTATGCATATTTTATAATTTGGGAATTGTATTCATACCTGATGTAAAATTCTTTGACCAATATATATACATGAGATGTGAAGAATTAAAACATAAGTATTTTAAAACTAAACTACTCTTATATAAGGAATTATGAAGTAAATGTGAATCCTTTATCTAAGGTTATTTTTATAGTTTTTTAAATACATTTTGTATATATAAAGCCAGGTTTTAGCATGAGCTTATGTAGTATATTTTAGCAAGACAGTTGAGATTCATTAAAACTCCTGATATGGATTATCAGATGATAGATGACTTTTTTCTGAGGGTTCAATGAAGATTGATAGATAACAACATTATTGCTTATAAATCTAAAATCAGATTGCTTAGCAGGAAACTTAAATATTCAAGTGTTTAGTTATGCTTTCTTTAATTTATACAAGAATTTATAGTATTTTACCTTCTAATACCTAAGAAAACTCATATATGTTTTTAGTTTTATATAATTATATTACCTTACCATTATAATTATATTGCTTATATAATAATAAGCTATTTACTGTGTGGTTCATTGCAATAAGAGAGTAAAGTAGAAAGAAGAATAAAATGCCTCTCTTGATAAATGCATGTTTTAATCTTTTACCTGATGACTCCTAAAATCATAGAAAATTCATAAAAGACAAATATCCGATATGTGTATATTGAAATAGTAATAGGAGTCACATTTTACTTTTAATAGTTAATAATTTAAATCCAAAAATACTTTAAAAAACAATAGAAAGAATGGTAAAGTCCAGTCATTGCTCTGTTGCTTTACTCAGTTTTGTCATGTCCCCTCAGCTTTAATATCAGCTTTTGTGTGTGTGTGTGAAGAGAGATATTTGTTTGAAGAAATTTGAAAGGTAGAGTATAATGTCTTAGAAGAAAAGTACACAGGTGAATTGAGTAGTTTTAGAAAGAATGAACAAATATAGGCAGATGAAAGCAGTCTGTCCCATGAGTAGAGTGGAAAATGAACACAAGAGGCAACAGTGAAAACAAAAACAAGAAACTGATGTTCAAGAAAAAAGTGAATAATACAATTTTAGATTTTAATCATATACAAATAATTCACTGAATTGCCCATCCAAACATTTGAATTTTGTGTTCAATCTTCATAAGCTATTTCTTATCATTGAAAGGATAGTAGATTTTTATATTGGAAATCATGTTCATGTTTGGATTATTTTAGATTCCATGTCTGCTTTTTTACAAAGGTACACTTTTATTTGATGTGGGTTAAGTAGTCATTTACCTCACCATCTGTGTCTCTTTTTTTCATGATCTCATGATGGAGCTCACCCTTTCTTGTTTTTAATCTTTAGTATAACATACATAAAGATCAGTACAGAAGCTGTGATAACGTCTCTGCCAAATCATCAGATAGTGATGTCAGTGATGTGTCCGCCATTTCCCGAACCAGCAGTGCCTCACGCCTCAGCAGCACAAGCTTTATGTCAGAGCAATCTGAGCGCCCCAGGGGTAGAATCAGGTGAGTTGGCAATGCTGTTTGTTTTAACTGGATCTTTATCCATGGTATAAAATGTGACTAGCTTCCAGAATATTCTTTCTTGGATAGAGTTTAGTTCAACTAGCAGAAACATCTCATTAAAATAACTTGGTGGGTTGAACGTTTTCTAAATTCTGTGTAGTATGACTAACAAAATGTTAGGTTCTATCTATTATGAGATACACTTCATTATTATAGTCATGAGTTTAGTGGTTCCTCAGTCACATTTGTATGCATTTCTTTTAAGATGATGAAATCCACAGAATATTCTTACATCCAATGTCAGGAAGCTATTTCTGTTAAGGACCACATGATACATCAAGCTTTGCAAGACAGTATCAGCCATATACATAACTGTGTCATTGTAATGTGAAAACCCTACAAATAAATGGATGTGGCTGTCTTCCTTCCTATCTAGCTGTCTGCAAATGCAGAGAGCAAACTATATTTTCCCTGTTAAGTGTAGTATACCCACCTCTACTTTAATCCCATGACGATTGGTCTATTTTCAGGATAGGGTGTACTGGATATAACAAAATACACATTCCTAGTTCATATTATGTGAGTTGTATGTAAGAAATTTGCATCAGCTTCATTAATCACCCATAGTGCTCTTGTGTTATCATGCCCTACATGAAAGGGAATAGACCTCAGACCTTCAGATACTGTCTAAAGTAAAGCAGACTGATTGTGGACAAAGCATATTTTATATTTGTTCTTAAAAAGTTTTCAAAAATATATTTCATGCAAGGAGTTTTAGGACTGATGAGAATTCCAAATACAGATGTTAAAAATAGGAACAAATACCTATTATTATTATTATTACAAATACCTGATATTATTGCACATTTTGATGTTCAAAAAAATAGATTCCTAAGACTCTTTCTTCCTGGATTTCCCTACATGTATGTTGTCCGTTGAAACAAATTAAAAGTAGCCATCTTCCAGTTAGTTAGCAGTTTCATAGTCTTATAAAAATCTACTTGAGAAGTTTCAACTGAGTTTTTAGGACTAAACAATAAAAAGGAACTTTAGGCAGTTTAACAAAAAGGGCCTATGGTTTTGCAAAAAGAGAACAGGAAGAAACTACATGCTGGTGTATTGAAGCCTGTTTTACTCTGTGGAGAAAATGACAGTTTAACAAATCACACTCTGTGTCATGACAAGAAGCAAAAGGTAGAGTACCTCTCACTTCTTTGATTCATAAGAATTTTTTTTATTTGTTGAAAATGGTGGAGAGAAATGCAGAACTAAAAAAGGGTACAAATGAATTTTTTATTGATAAGCCCATTTTCTTTAAGCATGTTCCTGTTTTCTACTTTCCCTTTTCTATAGCTTAAAATCCTCAAGAACTGTGAGTTTGTTTTATGTAAGTGGATTATGTATATTTCCACACTAAAGCTGGTAGCTAAACAAGTTTCCTCTTAAGGGAGATAGTTTTCCTGTAATCCCATTCTTTGTCATTGATTCTCCATGTATGTACACATTTGATCCTCTAAGAATAATGAGGATGAATAGAGGGAAAGTGAGATACTGGAAGAGATGAGTCAGACACTCAGAGGCTAGTTATCCTTTTATATACATTCTTCTCCCTACATATGCCCATAGGAGCAAAAGCGTGCACATGCATACACACACACACACACACACCCAACACACTTTACATAGCTATTTTCCTTCCAGCATCCACATTGTGGCAAAATACTGAGAGTTAATGGTTTGGGAATGGGGAAAAGAAGACATAACAAAGTGACCTCAGTATAAAAACATCAAAATACTATGTCTCAGTGTTATTGAACAAAGACTTCAGGCCTTTCAGCTATAAATATCTCCTTCTTTCCTAGCTAACACCATTAAGAATGAATGTCCTCAATGCATTACTTTATATTTTAGTACCTAACATCTGCATAGGTTTTATAATTTTGTAAATTCAAGTTTGTGGTTAAAATGAACAAAGTTGAATGTATTTATTTGTCATAATAAGTATTAGCACATTTTGAGTTCTCATCCTGTGTAAGGACTTTTTTAAAATAAAATTACATTAAAATATAATATTTAGGACACATACTAAAGTAGATTATGGCTTACTTAAGAGTTTAAAACCTATTTTTAAACTTTTTATTGGTGCATCATAATTATACATAATAGTGGGGCTCATTGTGACATTCATATATACATAAAACATCTTGTTCCATTTCATTCTCCGGGACTTCTTTCTTCCTCTCTTCCTCCTTTCCCCAATCTCCTTTCTACTCTTTTGATTTCCCTTCTGTTTCATGAGATCCTATCCCCTCCGTTTTTTGTCTAGTTTCCACACTATGAGAGAAAACATGACCCTTGACCTCCAGTTCTATTCGTTCTCCTGCAAATCACCTAATTCTTCTTACTTTGATACTTTTTAAAATTTGTTCTAGTTAGTTATACAATACAGCAGAATGCATTTCGCATAATTTCTTCTTTATGGCTGAGTAAAGCTCCATTGTGTATATATACCACATTGTTTTTGTCTTTTCATCTATTGATGTTCACCCAGGCTGGTTCCATGACTTGGCTATTGTAAATTGTGCTGCTACAAATATGAGTATTCATGTATTGCTCTAGTGTGCTGACTTTAGTTCCTTAGAATGAATACCAAGAGGTACTATAACAGGGTCAAATAATGGTTTCATACCTAGTCTTTTGAGCAACCACCATACCGATTTCTGTAGTGTTTGTACTAATTACAGTCCCATTAATAGCATACAAATGCTACTTTTTCATGCATCCTCACTAGCATTTACTATTATTGTATTCTTGATGATTGCCATTGAAACTCTCATGAGATGAAATCTCAATGTAGTTTTGATTTCCTGATTGTTAATGACATTGATCTTTTTTTAAATATATTTGTTGACCATTTGTATTTCTTATTTTGAGAAATGTTCATCTGTCCATTCATTGGGTTATTAGTTTTCTTGTTGTTGTTGTTTGTGGTGCTAAGTTTTTGAGTTCTTCACATATTTGGATATTAATCCTCTGTCAGAAGAGTGGCTAGCAGAGGATTCAGGCTGTTTTGTTCTAGCAGTTGCAGAGTTTCTGGTCTAATTCCTGTGTCTTTGATCCACTTTGATTTGACTTTTGTGCAGTATGAGAGATAGGGATTGGGTTTTATTCTTCAACATCTGAATATACAGTTTTCCAGAACCATTGGTTTAAAACACTGTCTTTAATATACACACTAAAAAACCCCCTATTTTTAGTGTTTGGTTCCTTGTATATATCTGACATATGTCACAAATGACATAAGAAGTGTTTTATTATCCATTGCTTTGAATGAACATTAATTTCGAAGACAATGAAAGTATTTAGAATATGGTGTAGCATTCCCTAAAGCTGAGGTTTAATGCTTTAAAAGTTAATATGGTACCCAGTGTTCTCCGGAGGGATGGTAAAAAAAAAAAAACCGTATGACATGGCCTCATTGTTTTCTTATAATATCATGGTATGTAGTCACTCATAATACCAGTATTTTCCAAATAGGGCTTAGTACATTTTCCTCCTAATAGTTCACCCTAAATATTTTTGTTAAGGTTTTGTGTTTTGTRTTTTGGATATTGGTTATTACATCAAACTTGTCCATTCAGGAAAGTTTTGTTTAAATTTAAAAATGACATCCCTTTTCTCCAGAGGCACCCACCCAGGGTGAACTGCTTAATTTGAAGTGGTTCAATGTTTTCCCCCGCCTTTTTTTTTTTTTTTTTGTATTGGGAATTGAACTCAGGGGTGCTTAACCACTGAGCTATATTCAGCCCTTTTTTATATTTTATTTAGAGACAGGGTCTTGCGGAGTTGCTTAGGGTCTCACTAAGTTGCTGAGGCTGGCTTTGAACTTGCAATTCTCCTGCCTCAGCCTCCAGAGCCACTGTGATTGCAGGCATCCACCACTGTGCCCATCTTGTTTTTCACTCTTGATTGACTGAATAGTTCGTTTAAAATGGTCCAAAACATATCTTAGGTTTTCAGTTTAAGTTTACTGAGAAAGGTGTAGTATGAAAATACAAAAGAGCATAATGTTTGCATAGAGTAAGTAAACTTTAAATTAAAAATTATTCGTAAACTTGTTGAAATGGACTAAAAATGATTCACACAAACTTAAGAATGATTCTTACAATATATAATCAACCCTGGGTGCTTCAGAATAATAAGCATAAGTAAAGATTTGAGATTCTTAGTGGGTTTTTTTCAGATTTATTCTTACAATTTGAATTCAATATTTGCTTAAATAAATATTTCTAAAAGAATATTTTTGCATTCAAATATAAAATATGTAGTGTATATTGGTAAATATGGCATAATTTATAATAAAATGCATGTGTAACAAAAGCCAGAAATAATTATATTGTGTTTCTGTTTATTTTTATATCTAAAGAAGATTTTTTTAAAAAGATATTCATCTCCAAAATGAGCTTTTCATGGCATAGGTCTGAATTTTTCATCTTCATCATTTATCTTTTTCATTCAAGGCAGACAAATTTCAGGTGTTTAATACAAAATCATGCCTTAAAAGCAAATGTAGGCATAATCCTAAACTTGCTCTCAGACAATTATTTTTGAAGCTTTATCCAAAACCAACAATTTTTCGGCAGCATTTAAGTTTGTAACACATGTTCTCCAGGCTTTAGCAAATTTCACTTGTATTCCTAAGTGAATGTCAGTAAACAAACTCATAAGACAAGTCTTATGCCATTAATTTCATTTTCTTTTATCATATCCTTTGGAAGGAATATCATCAAAGCAATTACTACACTCATAATTTGAAARATATGAAAGGATTAAGAGAAGTTATCTTCCATGGACAAATAGTAACCTTAAAACTATAAATTTACTAAAATGTGGCATTTGATGTCAGTAGGTATAATAATCTGTAATCATATGCTAGCAGGAATGTTTTATTTATTTGGGTATTTTTAAACAGCATAGCTTACATTTTTAAAAAATTTTAA